TGCAACAAACCGTTTTCGAAAAGCTTACCACGACCTGAACGACCTACCTGTAGGCCTTTATGCGCTGTGAATCACTTGAAGTGAATTTTGAACAGTTGCTATATGGAGAACCCTCGCGAAGGATCTATTAGGATCAATGTGAGAAAAAAGTTGCGGCTCGATCCTACTTGTGATACTTGCTCAAGTGTGAATGATTTCTTATGATATGTTTCTGCAGCATTGGAGCTGCATGAACCTGCAGCGATAGGTTGACTCAGTGGGTAGCGCCGACCGTTCAGACCGTGACATTGGGCTTGCTGGCTCAGTTCCCTGATATACTTTGCATTCTACCAGGTTTCGCTGCTCTCGCGTCCATACGTATCTGCAAACGGACAATTACGATGATGTTTACCATCTATGGGCACATTCTAAATTGTGCTACTTCATAATTTTGTCTTTTACTACACTTGCAATATTCACATGACATTATAGTGGAAATCGACGTTTGCTGGTTGACCAGAGGATTGATTGCGAATATGGCGTGACTTCGAGATCTAACTTTTCCGAGCTAACTCGTTAGATACGCTCGTATTAGGGGCCTTCGGTGCCTGCATGGCGCCCGATTGCGTCGACGCCAGAATAAGTACTAGAAGATGGAGGAGGAGGTCCGAAGTTGGTGGATTGCTATTCAGGATGCGGTACACGATTCCAGTTCTAATCAAAATTTTGAAAATCTGCGCGATGGAATCTCCGGGAAAACAGTACTGCGCCAAAGTCAGTCTTTTTATCCTTCCGTACGATACTCATCCCAGTCAAAGGGCCCACGAGAAAGAGGACAACTAGACAGTCAGCGGAAGCCGACCCAGGTCTCGAGCTCTAGAACGGGACTGCGGGACGACCCAAGTATGGAGCTCTAAAACGGTCTTGTGGTAGGTGGTCCCACTCTACGCTGCTACGCTACCGTTGATCTTCTACACTAATGAAATTATAATGCTGTTCCAACACAAGAAGGCTGAGTTGTGGGCAAAGTCGATACCTAGGCGGGAGTCCCCGCATCACGCATTTCGGACGAGTGCGCTATCCGTTACGCCACAACTGCTGCTCTTCCACGCGAAGAAGTGGCGTATAACAGCAGTTATCATCACAAAACAGCTATTACATCATGCTATCTGATGGCATTTCTATTAGCATTGGAGGGTAAGGACTGCATGAAATCGATGTTTCGTTGCGTGTTACATATTATGTAGAGAAGAGAGAATTCGCTGCAGAGAATATAGCTGGGTTAAAAACGTCCACAGACTTTTTCAATTCAGAGTTTGTTTGTCTATACCATCTTGGTGTTTATATGTTCAATACTACTGTGCACTCAGCAAGTCGCAAAGGCCATCGCTACCTTCACCAACAATGATGGTATGAATTTATGGGTGACAGCGCAGGTCAGTTTTGTCGAAAGCGCATTGAATTATCGATATCTGCATCCACTATGAATTTCTTTGCAGTGGAGGTGACCACAATAGCGACGGAAGTTGCTCATTTCCTGGATCCAACCACTCCCTGACTAAGACTGATTTTTTGACTCCGAGTTGGCCCTTGGTGCTTTCAGCTCCAAGCCGTTTGGACGGGGCTAGACGTCAGATCGTGGATTACCTCTCACAAATGATAATCAGGTCTTGTACCCTCCGAAGACGGTGGACTGGTGCCAAGTTCGTCCGGGGAACATGGCTTTAGATCTAGGGTACAGCATCGTGATGTGTGAAATGTGTGGAACGAGGTCCCGGTACGACCCCCCTCCTTCCCCACTTCCGGCCCTAACTTTTGGATTTAACGAGAAGGATAGACACGTAACGATCTGCCTGCTCGCCGGCTGACGGAGGCCACTGCCACCGCCCGCCGGAAGCTTTTCGCTGGCAGATAAACTGCTTAAAATCATCAAATATAGAGAATATAAGAAAAATCACTATCTCTAGATGTACAAGACATATTCGGCCATCTGAATTTTGGTACGTGAAAACGAAAAGTATTACCTGAATAAATCGCGCAGTTACAATATAAACACCTAAATAATACAAAGTAGTACTAAGTGCATACACATATTGCATAAATTATTACCAGATTACCTGTATTACTGCGAAATGCCGTGAAATCGTCCACAGTGTGCGCATAAATTCCTCGAAGAAGGAGAGTAGCTCCTGGAAGTGGACTGCGCTCCGATCCGAGCGCAAAATGGCGCTGGAGCGTTGACTGTTGACGAGGGGGAATCGCGGTGCGTTTTCCAAGCTCAATCACTTTTTCAGGTGAAGGGCTCATGGGAAACGGGAGACAACATGGCAACGTCACCGACTGTTTCGTTTTCTACTTACTCGCAGTCTTTACCTTCCTCGTTCATGAAATATTTCGGATGGGTCAGACGATCTTTCAAACCGATCTTCGCACAGTTCTATTGAATACACGCTAGTTTA